TGAAGCGACAGTTGCATCCTGTTCAAACGCCTGATGGTAGTACATCAGGAAAGTGTTTTTCTTTGAGGGGGAGGAGAGGAGAGTGTGATACTGTCTGTCCCTTACATGGCTAGACAGTCTTTCATCTCTGCTTTCCCAAGGCTGTGGTGTTTTAAAGCAGGATGCTTATACAACTTAATGGAAAAGCACTTACTAGCTTAGATAATGATCCAGCCCCAGTCCAAAACACAAGTAGTAGTAGGTTTCTTTTTCTGTAAGCTTTCTGGAAAAATTGATAGTTTCTCTGACTTTTGCGTAGGAGTAGGACTGAACACAAACTGGCATTTGAAAACTGAGTGCACTCTGCACCTCAAAAATGCACTTAGGCAGGGTAGCAGGGTGGAAGAAACCTTTTTTTTTGTTTTGTTTTTAAGAAAAAACACGAACAAGCAAAAAGCACTGCTAGAATATAAGTCTTCCAGCAACTTACTTTATCATCAGGCTTTTGAGATCCTGATCTTCACCTTCTCGTAACTCATATTTGCTTGTTAGAGACAATGAAATCTCTGTTTTTGCAAGTTGATTCAGTGTGCTTTCCCTGTTGGGGTCATTGGGATCAACAGCTCCTTCCCCTGTAAGGAAATATCTTTTACTTCAAGTTTGCCAACTTTCCCATGATCCAATGCATGAAGCAAACAAGAATGTAGATAAATCACTGTACATAATCAGAAATATTAAGTTTATTAAATAGTATACCCATTCCTACTATTTAGAAGTAGTCTTTTTTTGGACACTGACAATCAAAACCATAAAACAGCTATTTATAAGCCCAGTTAGAATGTTTTGGAAATACCACCAATTCTTGCTTTTCTGATGTGCAAGCTACTGATGTGCAAGAGACTAGCATGCCTTCTTCTCAAAGAATACAAACAAGTTAACATCCTTTGTCCTAACATGCAGTGATAGCGAAAAATGGAAGAGTAGCAGCTATGTTAACAGGCTGTTCACTTGGAAGCTGGTATTATCCATGACATCTTAGCTGCTTTCTAAACAGTTCACGTCTTACTACAATTAAGGCAAATTAAGTATCAGTCACATTTATTCCTTATAACTTTCTAATACATTTGTATAATTTATAAAGCTTCATTTTTATTTGAATAATTAAGTATCAAAATAAAAATGGCTGTTTTAAGAATTTCCCATGCACTTTTTGTAACTTTCTAGCCAACACTAGCAAATATTAAAATCAGGTTATTAAAAAATTACTAGTTTTCTATCTGCAATTTGAGTACAACTGGATCATTCTGCTCAAAACATTACTAACATTTGGATTTTTAATCACATTGTTAATCTTTAGAGTGAATATTGCAGTTAGAAGAAGGTTCAACTATAAGGAGCAATGTTACAAGAAGTGTTCAGAAAGAACTTTGTAGTAAATGAAGAAGCTGTCACTATGAGAGACATAAGAGTATTTAAATCAAGCCCCCATTTAAATCTGCCCCTTTAGTGAAGTTAACCATAAAGATGAAGAACAGCATACCAAGGAAAGACTCTACGTCAGGAACAGGTCCCAGACCTTCTAGCAATTCATTCAGCAGGTCATTCGGCTCAGTGGCAATGGCATCTTGGTGTTCTAATAGTAGCTATAAACAAATGTAAATCAAGTCATCCTCCAAAAAAACCCCAACCAACCAAACAACCAACCAAAAAAAACCCCCAAATCCCCACATTCCCAGTGTCTTTATACTTGTAAATAAATCCGGAGAGTAAATGCTGAAAATCTAGACCAGCATGATCAGAATTATGGAGGACCCAAGCAGGGGAAGCATGCTCAGTTCTGGACTACAAGTTTAGAATTGCTCTTGGTGTAAAACAGCTTGCCACGCTCCTTCAACAATCATCTCCAGGGTGCTGAACATTACAGCTGAGCAGAAGTTTAAGATTTGCCTTTAGGTTTAACAAAGTATTGTACAGTAAAGGGTGAAAATCCCAAGCAGAGTATTTCAGTGCGGCATCCTGAACTAAGCACACAAAGGAATGAAGACAGGGTTAGTAGTCTATAGAAAGATACCTGTTTTCTGTATATTCATTCCAGTAGCTTACAATAGCGCCAGTAATACCTCCCAGAAATTACTATATTTTGTAAGTGATAAACCAGGTATGCAGCACCTGCTGCCCAATTTCTAATAGACTTAGAAGTTGCAGGATTTTTGCAACTTCCATTGCGCCTGGGCACATTCTCAAAACTTTAAGCCACCAAAATACTGGCAAACCAAGTTAATAAAGGACATGAACAGGGCACTAACATTTTCTTGAAAACAGGCTCTTGCTATCCATGAGAAAAGTAACTTAGTGCTTAGTTAGATAAAGCCAGCAGAATTGGTGACCACTAGATTCAACAGTCCATTCCCTATAGAAGCAATATTCCTTACTTGGAGGACTAATACAAAGACACAGTGTCACCAAGATCCACTGAAATTTAGCAACAGCAAAGCATGCACAGTAGGCAAAAATTTCAGGATTCTAAGTATTTTAAACACTGCAAGTTATAATCAGTCAAGAGTTAGGGGTTACTAGAAACTTACTGATGCCTAAAAAGCCTATGTCCAGAAAAGAAAGGCATTTCAGATGTACTTACAAGACAGAAGTGAGCATTATATGCCCACAACCATTAACTTGTTTAAAACAAGTTTCTCTTACGTGCATCACGTAGCCCACACTGTAAATAATGTTGACTATGATAATGTGAAATTGCTGAGAAACACTATGTGTGCTGATTAAAACTCCACCACGCATGGTGCTGTACAAGCACAGATGAAGACAGATACTTTGGGGCAAAGGCAAGAGAGAAATGGGGAAGCACCAAAAAACAAAGCTGATGAATGCAATAGAGCCCTACAGAGGTGTGCAAGGAAAATTAACCTTAGGCAAGTGCCACGGGAAATGATGACAAAGGGCAGATTTAAGAACTTTTTCTGAAGCTGAGCTACACATGACAACAGCTAAAAAGTTTATGCATCTCCTGTTATTTAAATGATTTTTTTTCCTTTGGACCTGTATGTCCGAAATAGAAAGTTTAATTTACACTTGCAGGGAAGGTGCAGTGGGAGAAGACAACCCAGATGAAGGCTCAGGCTCTCTGAGGAGGGTTGATGGAAGAGGCAGAAGCCAAGGAGGATCGCCTGGTAAATATACTGCACACAGATAATGTACAGTCATAAGCCCTAATTACTTGCTTCCCGTAAGCAAGCAAGTGCATGTAGTCATGTTCTCAAAAAGGACCATCTCCTTGACTTCCTTTGTTTGGCAATTTACTTTCATTAAATTACTTTATATTTTGCGGAGTATTTTATCAGCTAATACAAAATTGCCTAGTAATACTTTGTCATATTAGGTCCAAATAACATATTAGACATGCAAAGATCCAACTAAAAGGAATATTTGACCAAGACTAGTGTTTAAATATAACAACTGATCATAAGCATGCAGCATAGGTCTATGCCTTAAAAAAAATTAAAAGGAAGAATAGGCACAAAGACAACCCAGCAAATATATTTTTAGCAGACTAGGCTATTAAGTTTCCCTTGAATAAAGGTTACTTGTAATGTGGTGTTCCGGGAGCTGGGTATTCTACCTTTTCCATAGTGTATTTGACAGTATTTGTGGGAGGTTCTTTGTGAGGTTTGTGGGCTTTTGGAGGGCTTTATTTTTTTGGGAGGGGAGGTGGCAGGGAACATCTTGCAAGCCAGAAAACAGATAGTAATATTCCAGGATGACCATGTGGCAGACGTTTAACTTAGACCGTAATGAATCATACTACAGACTGCAGTTAATCTGTTCTTTACCCACGATAAAGAACTGGCAGGATGCCACAACTTCAGTCCTTCTAAATCAGACATTTGCATCTGCTTCCAACAAAACATATGACAGAATGCCAGAGTAATGAAATACACTGCATTTTCCTCTATTCCCAGAGTCAAAGGAACTTCTTCAAATTGGTGTCACTTTCTTAGCCAAGACAGGAAAGTATTTCTAAGTATAAATAACTTCGACATGTCACACTAGGTTAGAACAAAAATGTTCCTCCCTCCCATCAGAAAAAGTTATATTTAATTGTTAATCAAGATGTTGCTTTTAAATGAAAGCAATTTTCTAGGAAAAATGCAATCTAATACTCAATTCCAGACCATTTCAGAGATGAACTGATGAAACTATTTCAAAAGGAAGAATGAACGTTTAGCCTTCCCTGGATAAGGTTTGTTGCAAGTATTTAATAATCTATTCAACTTTAGTGTGTTGACTAGTATATTTTCATTCACTTACTGAGTGAGTATTGATAATTTCTTCAATGGAGATATAAATGATAGGTTTGCTAAGGGTCACCATGTCAGAGTATTCATCGATATTGAATTTCTCCTCTGGTTCAGGAACATCACATGCTGCTTGAAAAAAATTCCTAAGAGAAAATGAGAAAGACTTCAGTAATAGTCCTCTATAAACTCATTTTCATTAGCCTGTAAAAAAGAACAGGGAGGAAGAGAGAGGGGGAAAGGGAGGGGGCGGCATTAGTTTGGAGAGGAAAATCTGAGGGATACCATTCAGTTGCACAAAATCACAGTGGTGTTGCATGAGATGGATACAGAATTAATTAATCAAATCCCACAATAATGGAACAAGGCGGTATGTAATGAAACTAGAAGGAAAATAATTAACTGTCAAATACATGAAAAGAAGCATTGTTTTAAGCAACAGGTAGCAAAAGTCTGTATATTGCTACAAGAGGAGGTTGTGGAGGCAGATGACCTCAAGGGTTTATGAAAGGTTTGGTCAAATTCCTGCATAAATGCACAGTACAAGATCTATGCAGGACTGGTAGCTTTTAACATAGCTAATATTGCAATTGCATTTGCTAGGTGAGTACAAGAGGAACAAGCAGCTGAGAGCAGCTACTGTTGGTATCCAAGGAGAGTTTAGTTAAAGTACAGAGCGCAGTCACCCAGAGACTCATTAACTGAATTAGGACAGGGATTCTTCTTTTTGTAGTCAAAGGGCCAACTAGAGCAGGCTCTTTCTTTAGTGTTTGTTTTTCTTGCTATAACACTTTCTACCCTATTGTTTCCTCATGTTTATGCCATGCTCATAAATATTTCAATAAACAGAATGACTAAGTTTAAATCTCTGTATTCATGGCTAACCTCTCAAGGTAATTTATATGAACAGTGCATTTGCTTTCATGAAGGGCAAATACTAAAGATAGAAGTTGTGAGAGTGTTTACCACCAGACACAACAACACTTCAAGCTAATAATATCCATCACCTGAAAAGATGAGCAATAATCCCAAAGAACTTGTGTCCCAGAGTGTAGCAAAGCACGCAATTTCCCACGACTGCAAGATGAAAGAATAAAATCTGCATAGAATCTCTCAAAGATGAAAGAATGAAAACAAAACCCACAACATTTTCCTGACCAGTAAGTTTTTTCCTCAGATAAAACATTCAGCTTTGGGTTACATTATTTCTGCTGGATAATGAATCACCCCACACTGCTCTCACAATCTGTTAGCAGTAAGGCAACCAAGCCACATGAGATGATTAGTTCTCAAAGCAATGCTCAAGCAGAAATACAACCTGTTATTCCCGCTTCCTCAGCAGTGAAAATTTATCTATGCCAGATCACTCAACATTTTTTAACTCAGAGAATGGAACTCCTATAAATGTGGAGTCTACCCTTACTCATCCTAGGGGAGAGCTTTTACTGTGTAGGTATTTGTGAAGGCTTTCAATACCTGAACTTCTGGTATGTCTGTGAGAGGTAAGTGTTCATAGATGATAGATGTTCGCTCTCTCCTTCAAAGAGTTTGTTAGAAGCAGCGTGCTGAAGGACTTTTGCCACACAACCTAGGTTCCTCCTCTGGTCAGGGTGTATCTGGCCCCCAGCTGTCATATCAATTATATCAAAACCATCAGGAGCAACAATGGCAGGGTTCATGTAGCGATAGTACAGGAGGTTGCCGACAATCTAAAAGAAAAAATTAAGAGACCTTCCTTTTGCATACAGTAATTACATTTTACAAAACATGATAAATAATTTCTACTCCTGAATTAGACCATAGGAACTGGTGCTAGAAGAACTCCTAAGATATGCATGCTACCTCTGTGGCTAACTGGAAGAGCCTGTGGTCTTTTATAAGATGCACGTCTTACAAAACCTCTGTGAACATCAGTTATGGACTTTTAGAACCACATTTCAATTTCATGCTGGCTTTAGGTCAGCTAATGCAAGACTGACTTGAACACAGAAACTAATACAACTCTTTCTTCTAGATTTTGCAAGGTTCAGCACCAGACACTCATTCTCTGAAGGTATTTGCCAGCATTTAATGCATTCACTGACAAGGTACCCATTGTTTCTCATGAGGACTGCATGCAGCCCTAAAAAGACTAGAGAAAAGATTTTCCAAACTGCAGTTTCTATAATGATGTTACAGTAACCTGTATTGTGCAGATGGTGGCTTCAAATAATTTCTGATCCCAGAAACAGGCAGAACTTTTCTTTCTGCAATTTGACTCAGCTTATGTATAGTCACCTAGTCACCTGCAGAACTTCCAGCTGACAAATGTAAAGGCTTTCAGTTGGGTGCCTTATGCTCCATTTGCTTTTTTTTTTTTTTCCCTTTTTCATAAATTGAGCAGTCTTAATCTGTATTGCTGGAATAATGGACAGAAGAACCCCATAAATGCTGCTTGCAAGGATTTCCAATGCATTGTTAAAATACACAAAAGCAGAATTAATTTTTCAGCTGAGGAGTTTGAAGTCCTCTAGGCACCAGGATATATATATATATATATATATTTACTTTTTTAAAAACACTGAACAGTATCTTTTTGAAGAATAATAAGGAAGTCTTATTGAAATTAATACCTTGTAATTTTTGAACCATTTCATTAAACACTAGTGAAACATCTTTACTGAAGTGAGAATAGTTCTAATTTGAGACAGTTGTCATTCTCTCAGCTGGCAATTTCCCTAAGACCTTTTAAGAGGCATCATGGCTGTGTCAGGTTAGTGATGGCCAATGTGCTAGTACCATGCTTATCACTCACACTCTACTTTTCAGTCTGTACAAATGTAATTCCTACAACTTTTACAAGCATCTTAAATGAACT